GGTAGCATTTTGAACCGTTGTCATTTCCTTGCAAATCATTTTCAATTCGATCAACGATGCCGCCTTTCAAGATCTAGATCATGGTTCTCTGCGGCAGGTGACCTGCACCAGCGGGTGTGCACGGCGGCGGAGATGAAGTTCTACTTCAACAGCCTGATCGAGAGCGGGGAGGAGACCAGGTGGGAGAAGAGCTACGTCAGGCCCAACAAGAACTGCAACCTCTCCTCCTGGATCGACGGCTGCGAGCCCGGCTGGGCCTGCAGCGCCGGCGAGCAGAAGGTCGACCTCCAGGACGCCAAGGACATCCCCTACCGCGCCGACGACTGCCAGGCCTGCTGCCCCGGCTTCTTCTGCCCCCATGCCCTCACCTGCATGATACGTAAGTTAGCACTCATCAACCCATGCCAACATCACAGCTGAGAAAAAGAATTTCTCATTTCTGAGTTGATCAGAAAGAAGCGAAATGAATGTTTCAGGATATATGCAGTTATGCCAACTCAAATGCAAACAGAAAGGAATTGTTATCTAATTTTTTGATTGGGAGGAAATTCTGTCATGTGCAGCTTGCCCTCTTGGAGCATACTGCCCACTGTCCACCCTAAACAAGACTACGGGGATCTGCGACCCGTAAGTCGTCTGCCCTCGGAACTTCTAAATTTCCACAGTTTCATCATAACTTAATGCTGAAGATGCATTTCAGGTACAATTACCAACCGCCTGCTGGGAACCCAAACCACACCTGTGGCAGTGCTGACAATTGGGCAGATGTGATGAGCACCGACGACGTTTTCTGCCCGGCTGGATTCTACTGCCCGAGCACGACCCAGAAGCTCCCTTGTAGTAGTGGGTAATCCTATCTATCTGCTGTTTCAAAGTTGTACTTCCATCACAACCGTTGATCGTAATCATATACCCTGCACCAGTGGTATATTTAGTGGGCATGCTCTTGTTGCGGTCGATTGCTCGGGTGTTTATCTGTTCAGATGCTGAGAGTATCAGGTGTGCTTTTGCAGGTATTACTGCAGGAAGGGATCGACTTCGCAAACCAGTAAGCTCGACCACTTCTCATTGCAGAGGAGTTGGAATCCATACCCTCCGCAGTCTTCTTGACCCGTGCGCGTCCTGAATGTGGCCTTCTTCTTCTTCTTCTTCTTCTTCTTCTTCTTCCCTGCAGGATGCTACAAGAAGAGCGCATGTCCGCCCAACTCTGTTAATCAGGACATTACGATCTTTGGCATGTTGCTAGTGGTAATGCCACTAAGCGAATCGATATCATGGTTATTGTCCTTTTGGAAGCCGCAGCTGCTTTGGTCGAACTGACACTTGTCTTCTGTTCTTTTGTGCGGCTCCGCAGATTGCCTCTTGTCTAGTCCTTCTGATCATCTACAATTTCTCTGGCCAACTTCTAACCAACCGTGAGAAAAAGCAAGCAAAATCTCGAGAGGCTGCTGCAAGGTATGCGAAAGAGACGGCGCAGGCTCGTGAGAGGTGGAAAACAGCTAGAGATGTCGCCAAGAAGGCTAGCACTGGCCTTCAGTCACAACTGTCTCGCACCTTCTCGCGCAAGCAGAAGCCGGGACAGCCAGGGGGGATGTCATCGAAAGGCATGATGCCTTCAGTTGGAACGGATGGGGCTGGAAAAAAGAGCAACCTCCCCGACATGACGAGCTCCCTTGAAGAGAACCCAGACGGGCCCGAAGGATTCCAAATGGAAATAGGAGATAAGACCGGCAAGAAGATGCCCAAAGGGAAGCAGATGCACAGCCGGAGCCAGATTTTCAAGTATGCATACGGTCAAATCGAGAAGGAAAAGGCAATTCAACAGGAGATGGAGGAGAACGATAACAACATGAGTTTGTCTGGTGTGGTAAGCATGGCCAAAGAGCACGAAGTCGGTTCGAGAATGCCCATTGAGGTCGCGTTCAAGGACCTAACTCTGACGTTGACCGGGAGCAAGAAGAAGATCTTGAGGTCCGTGACAGGAAAGCTCATGCCTGGCCGCGTAGCTGCCGTCATGGGCCCATCTGGTGCTGGCAAGACCACATTTCTGAGTGCTGTCGCCGGCAAGGCAACTGGTTGTGACACATCAGGCTTGGTGCTCATCAATGGTAAAGTTGAGCCGATCCGTGCGTACAAGAGGATTATCGGCTTTGTTCCCCAAGATGACATTGTCCATGGCAACCTAACCGTTGAAGAAAATCTCTGGTTCAATGCAAGATGCAGGTATTTGCCCAAGTAGAGTTGGCCATCTACCTTTTCAGTTTACACAAGTGAACTAACTTACTGTATGTTTGTGGAATCTCAGGCTGGCAGCAGACATGTCGAAAGCCGAAAAGGTCCTCGTCGTGGAGAGGGTCATTGAGTCTTTGGGGCTGCAGCCAGTTCGAGATTCTCTGGTCGGGACGGTGGAGCAGCGTGGCATCTCCGGTGGCCAGCGCAAGAGAGTCAACGTCGGTGTAGAAATGGTCATGGAACCTTCGGTGTTGATCTTAGATGAGCCAACTTCAGGTTTGGATAGTGCATCCTCCCTGCTTCTTCTCCGTGCCCTTCGCCGGGAAGCTCTCGAAGGCGTCAATATCTCCATGGTTGTTCATCAGCCTAGGTTTGCTTTCAACCTCAAATGCAGAACGGTATTATATGTTTGCCTCATCGCCTGCAGCAATTCTCCCTGACTAAAACAAAGCCCTTTGCCGTCTCAGCTACACGCTGTACAGAATGTTTGATGACTTGATACTTCTCGCCAAAGGGGGGATGACTGTCTACCATGGTCCAGTAAAGAAGGTGGAAGAATACTTCTCGGGGCTGGGCATTGTCGTGCCGGATCGCGTGAACCCACCCGACTACTACATTGACATCTTGGAGGGCATCGTGAAGCCAAACATGAGCGCGGGCGTAACCGTTAAGGACCTGCCGCTCAGATGGATGCTGCACAACGGCTATGACGTTCCACGGGACATGCTGCGGAGCACCTCCGGGTCTGAATCTTCGTCCAGAGGAGGCGCAGACCCTTCTTCTCCTGGCGCGGACGCAAGCCCATCCTTTCTATCAGAAATGTGGGCCAATATCAAGGACACCATCATGCAGAAGAAGGATGAGTTTGACTATAACAAGTCAACCTTAGATCTGTCAAACCGCAACACCCCCGGCATCCTTAGGCAGTACAGGTACTTCCTGGGAAGGTAAGGTCTCCCTCATCTGTGTATTGAACATCTCATTTCCTGGGGAGTTCTTCTCCAGCTCATCTCGGTGTTTATGTTTTCATTCATTCAGGGTTGGCAAGCAGAGGCTCCGGGAAGCAAGGATACTGGCTGTCGACTACCTGATACTCTGCCTTGCTGGGATATGCCTGGGGACGCTGGCCAAAGTGAGCGACGAAACGTTTGGAGCGCTTGGGTACACTTACACTGTCATCGCCGTCTGTAAGTCTGGCCTGCCTTCTCTTTCTCCCCGAATCTGCATATCTAGCTGACCACTTCTCGAGGTTCACTCATGCCAAGCTGCGTGCATGACGCAGCCCTGCTTTGCAAAATCGGAGCCCTAAGATCCTTCGCCCTGGACAAGATATACTACTGGAGGGAAAGGGCCTCGGGGATGAGCTCGCTGGCCTACTTCCTGGCCAAGGACACCATCGACCACTTCAATACCATCGTCAAGCCCATCGTCTACCTCTCCATGTTCTACTTCTTCAACAACCCCAGGTCGTCCATCTGGGAGAACTATGTCGTCATCGTTGCGCTTGTGTACTGCGTCACGGGCATCGGCTACACCCTCGCCATCTTCTTCCAGCCAGGCTCCGCACAACTGGTACTCAAACATGCTTCCATTCCTCAATTGTATTTTCATGACCATGAAATCAAAAAAAAGCTCTCGACACTCCCTTGTAGATTGCTCATCATTGCTCATGTTACATGCTTTTGTTTGCAGTGGTCTGCACTGCTCCCAGTCGTTCTCACCTTGATAGCAACTCAGCAGAAGGACACTATCATAGCTGATCTTTGCTACACAAAGTGGGCTCTGGAGGCGTTCGTGATCGCCAACGCTCACAAGTGCGTATGCCTCCCATCAAATTCCTCCCTGACATAAATGAGCTCGCAAGTAAAATTGTCTCTGACCAAACACCCGATTGCTCATTCGTGGTTGCAGCTACACCGGGGTGTGGTTGATAACACGGTGCGGCTCTCTGCAAAGTAACGGCTACGACATCAGCAACAGGAGTCTCTGTTTATGGGTCCTCGTGGCCAACGGGGTGATCTTCCGCTGCGTAGCCTTCTTCTGCATGGTAGTCTTCCAGAAGCACTGACCCCTCTGTCGATAGATACAGCTGATCGGTTCATCGCTTCTTTCTTTCTCTGCGTAACAGAAAAAATGTACAATTGTTAGAGCTTTCTGTCTTTCACAGCATGCATGAGGTGTACATAAGAACAGATTTACCTTTTTGTTGTTGTGAAGATGTAAAGAGCAGGATGTTGAGTAGCAGCAGGCAGCTGGTCAGGAATGCCCTAATTTTTATGTAGAGGCGTTATCCATTTCAGATTAGCTGATGATAGCACATGTCAGAGGAACACTTCACTTGTTGCCTTCAGTCGGAGTAACATTTGAGGTGCAAATGTCAAATTGTTTCTGGCTGTACTGTACTACATGGTCAGGATTTGTAGCTCTATTCAGCGGCAACCATTCATCATCATACTTGCACATAAAAAAAAATGACGCAATATTCCAGTTAAACTAGAGGTTCAGAAGGTCATATCTCAATATCTTTGTTCTCTTCTCTCGGAAAAACATGCTTGGACAAGAAAGGATAAAGCACAAATTACTAGAGTGTGGGTAGTCCACTACAGAAAATTCACTTCACTATTGCAGCTTTAATCTAGAACTTAGCAGCTTGTACTCCACTTGAGAAGCCATGAAACTGAGCGAATAACTCGCAATGTTTCGGTAAGGAGGTGACAGTTTTATTATAGCTGCTGCTGGACCAGAAGGCCAAGATATTACAGTAAGGCCTAATTTTCACCAGAAGGTTCCTTGGATTTGACCTGAGACCCGGCCAGGTCCTCCAGGGTGAAGCTGAGAGTATCCGTGTCGCCTTTCTTCACGTCCTGCCCCTGATCCGCCAGGAAGTCCTCGATGCTCCCCGGCTGGCCAAACCAGCCGAGCCTGTCCGCCATCAGGTGCAGGTTGTTGCAGCCCCCACAGCGGGCGACCACCACCCCGTTGTCGTACGAGTCCCGGCTGGCCATCTTCACGGACCTCGTCTCGCAGACCTTGCACGTGAAGATCATCGCCATGTCGTGCCTCGGAGAGATCTTCAGGGTCGACGCGTCTCTGACCTTGAAGCTCGACTCCGCTGCCGCAGGGACCGAAGCTGGCCGCGGCGGGGTGCCGGTCTTGTGATCCTCCAGGTCATGGCGACGCTCATTTGACACATTGCTGCTCGCTTCGATGATCGTTTGGAGGGACCTCAAGCCTGCGGTCGCAGTAGAAGGGAAGAAAATTCCTGCAATGACAAAGAGTATCCGGTTGGCCGTTAGCTCACTCGCGTCGCAGAAGTAAAAACATCTGACACACACATGATAAAATGAAATTTAAGAAAGAATGTTTCAGCTTATTTGCCAGTCTTTGCAGGAACTGTGAATTTCCCCATGGAGAAAACATGCTTCAGCTTCAGTTGGCTATGAGCTCAGTGGTGTTGCAGGAGTGCAAACAGCTGAGATGCATACATACATATGATGAAACGATAAACGCTTGAGCTATTTATTTGCCAATCTTGCAGCAACTAAGAATTCATTCTCCACAGAGAAACATGAACTGAGTGAGACTATGAGTATGATTGTCGGCCGCCTGCGTTTACAGCATCCTAAGCCATCAAATCATTTTATAACATAGCGTAAAGAAAAGAAAGCATGGCCTGTCCTAATTAGATTAAATTTGTACACACAGTGCTGGAATCATACACAAAGATTTCAACTCCCACCAGCGCCTACAACCCACACGACCTAGATAAATCCCAATCGAATCAAATCCCGCGACACAACCATTCACGGCGGGGGCTCTCAGCATCAAATCAGAAAAACACCTACAATCCCAGCCACCAGGACGCCGGGTGCTGCGGTATCCTGGCCAATCGATCCGAGGACAAGCGATCGGATTTAAGCGGCGGGGACCAAGAAGGGGGAGGGGAGGAAGCCGGGGCTCACCGCGGGAAGAGGGGGCGGACGGCTGGGACAGGGCCGCGATGATGCGGCGGCCCGCCAGCGGCAGAAACCGGCCGGCGGCCATGGCGTGTCGGCCGGCGACGGAGGGGGAGGGAGCGCGTCTTCTTCTTCTTGCCGGCGAAGAAAGAAAGAGGCGAGCGGAGCAGAGCGGACAGACAGACAGAGGAGGCAGCCTCTCTGCTCGGCTCTTCTTACCGTGCCCCCCGGGGCGCATATGGGCCTCGCGAAGCTTCTTACGTCCGGATCTCCATATGGGCCTAACGAAGCCGAAGCCGGAGACTCTCGACAGGACCTATATGGGCCTCATATCTTATTACTATTTTTACTTTCGTTTATACTTCCAAATATTCTAAATAAATATATTAAAAACACTTTACATAAAACATTTGAAAAACATTCTTAATCAAGCATCTGAAAAATGTTAAATGTGTGTAGAGATTTTTTTCAAATGTATACGAAAATGCATGCAAAAACTATACAATGTGTGTGAAAAGTTGATCATGTAAAACAAAATGGTTAATCAAGCATTGAAAAAATGTTAAATGTGTATAGAGAAAATGTTTCTCATATATACGAAAAACATGCAATATGTGTGAAAAGTTGATCATATATTTTTAAATGTTAATAAAGCATTTGAAAAAATGTTAAACAAGTATTTGAAAAATGTTAATGAAGCATTTGGAAATTTTTCAGTGTGTATAGAGAAATGTTGACCATGTATTTAGAAAAGTTAATCTTGTATTATTAAAAAATGTTATACTTGTACTTCAACAAAATAACATGCATTTTTATAAATATATATAGAAAAAATGTTGACCATATATTATAGAAATTTTAGTATTGAATTTGAAAAAACTACTAATCAAGCTTTAAAAAACTGTTGACCATGTATTAAAAATGCTAACATTGTATTTGAAACAGGTTAATCAAGCATTTGAAAATGTTTAAAATGTGTATAGAAAAAATGTTGACCATGTATTTTTTTTATTTTCTATTTGGAAAATGTTAATCAAGAATTTGAAAAATGTTAAGAATGCGTACTGAAAAAATGTTGGCCATGTATTAAAAAATGTTAAATTTTTATTTGAAAAATGTTAAACGTATATTAGAAACATTTTCTTGATGTATACGAAAATTGTAGAATGAAAACCAAAAGAAAGAGACAAAAACAAAGAAAAAACAATGAAAACAAAGAAATAAATAAAGAAAACTAAGAAAGAAAAAAGGAAAAAAGAGGAAAAAACCTAATAAAATGAATAAAACCCAAAAAACCTGGTTAAAACCAAGAACTAGACGAAGAAAACCAAAGAACAAAAGCCAAAAAGGAAAAGCAAAGAGAAAACAATAAAATCTGTGAAAGGAAAAAAAATAAAAAGTGAAAAAACAAAGGAAAATAAGAAAAGAACAGAAAACCAATGAAAACTGAGGGAAAAACCTGTGAAAAAGAAGAAAAATAAAAAACCGAGTAAACCAGTGAAGAAAAAAAACCCTAGCGAATGAAACCCGGGGAGCGGAACAAGAGAACTCGATCAAAACCAGGGAACGAGGAAAAAAGATGAAAAGGGGCCAGCCCAGTAGCTACATGTTGGGGGTAAAATCTCCAGCAAGACGTATGTTATTCTCGCTATAAGCGAGATATAACATGTGCGCTCGAAAAGGGAGTTAAATAGCATTTGAGGACATAAATGCTCACATTAATTTGGGTCGTGTGATGGATGTGTCGTCGCCCACTAAAAGCCCATGGTGTATAACTCGCGAGGGCCTCAAGATAGTT